TTAATTTAATGATTTTACTTTGATGAACCATTTAAAACCAACACTATAAATGGATAATCCAAATCCATTTAATTATGGATTATATGGATGGATAAATGGATTTCAATCCAATTTGCCACCTCTATATACATCTATCACCATGGAAGGCCCAAAAGTTGCCAATAGCCATTACTGACTAAATTGGGCACTTTAACACTAATTTCGGAATTTGAAGCTGGGCAATTAAGGGTGCATTTAATAAAATTAAAATTTAAAAATTATAGTGAATTCATTAATTTATTGAATTATTAAATATTAAATCTAATACATTTGAATGCATATCACATTCGGTGATGAGTGAATAACTTATCACTTAATTTTAGGAACAAGTTTTGCCTAGAAAATTCAATGCCACCCAATTAATTCAGACGTTCAATTTTTTATTATCAAATACTTTGAATATATTAAGATTTAAATCCATTAACTTTAAATGCAAAATTGAACTATCATACAGAACCTAAATAAAAAATTAGCAACAACAAAGCAAAGGGTGCCGGTGTCTCTTCATCTCTTCTCCACTCATCTACCCCAACATATACAATACTTGCCCTTCTCTCGAGTCCAACATCTTGGCCAAAAATGCCACTCTAGCCGTGATGGGTTTTCTTTCTCTTGTGATCCACCCTCAAAATTTGGGAGATTCGCAACATTTGGCATCCAACTAGAGTTTATGTAAAATTTTTACAATTCTCCTACAACTTCGATGGATTGGACTAATTCAAGCCTGACTCACAGAAGATTAATTTTTTGTTTTGGTTGACTGTGGATTAGATCAAAATAATGAGATTATCTTTCGAATTTGGTCTGAAGAATTATGGGCTTTGCCACGATTTGTTGATGGTTTTGGCTCCCTTCTACTGGGTGTGTGTTGATTTTGTTGGAAATCAAAAGAGAAATTTAAGGTTGATCAATGGAGGTTGTTGAGATATCCATCACCAGCAGTTGGTGAGAGCAGACAACGGAACTGAAAGCATGAAAACGATAAGACAAAAAGAAAAAAGAAAAATAAAAGTTGATTTCTAATCCAATGCAAATACTTCATTCTTTGTCAAAGGGAATCATCCTACACAAACCCATTACTATTGAGGAGTCAAAGTCATTGCGATTCCTTAGCAGGAACCAAACGGGTGGTAAAAGTATGTAAATCCAAAAAAAAAAAAAAAAAAGTGGTACATTACATGTAAAAGTTGATATGTCAAGTCAAAAAAAATTGCCACTCTCTTTGTTCTACAAGTTGCCACTCTCAAAGTATATGGCATCTACAAGTTGTATTTCATGGTCTCACTTCAGACCATGCGTCATAAATCTTTTCTGCAAGAGGAAATATAAGTGAATTTTGGCCCGCATAACTAAAACTTTGTCGTTCTTTCCCTTGATCTGTTCATTGGATTCACCAGTAAAGAATACAACAAAACGGAACATCATATTGCCTTAGCAGCAACATAATTTGATGATCACGTACGGTTTAACAGACTGAAAGTAGTTTGAGGTTACAAACCCAACTAAGGATTCACTTATTCCCTGTCATTGGTTGCTCGGACTAGACATTATTGGGTTTCAATTCTGAAGCAAGAAAAACGTTTCTTCTCCAAGCTATGAGGACAGGACAATAAGAAGCAGCCAACTTTCCTCCACAATCGGAGGCAGTGCTTTTTTATTTGGGATTGCATTCTTCAAAATTTGCCCGTGAAAACAGCATATTTATCTGGGGATGAAACACACGAGCCTTTTATTCAAAGCAAAAGCTCCCCCAACATCCGGCAAACAAAAGGGTTTCTTTTTCTCGTAAGATCCAGGATTGACTAAAGGCACAACATGGTACATATATATGTAGACTCAAAATCATCATCAGGGATCAAAGGAATATGAGATGGAAAGTTTTCTTCTTTTTATCTCGTTGGTTCTCCGAGATGTACGCAAGAAAAGAAAAGCTAATTCTAGCACACTGCATTGCAGATCAAGCAAACACGTAACCAACTCAATAAAATCAATTAGCAAGGAGTACCAAGAAAGCTAGCAGAAGAACTATGCATGTTTAGGTAAAGATAAAAGTGAAAATAACTAAAGCCACCACAATTAAACTAATCCTTCCACTAAAATCAAAGCCCCACCTCTTTAAGCGCATGTCAATAAAACAATAGCTTTGAGTAAGACCCACACAACGAATTCAGGGAACAATGGATAAAGTCGTAACAGAAAAAGATTTTTTTCTTTAAAGAAAAAGTGTAAAATGCATGTGTGCTAGAGTTTCTATCGTTTTGGATCCCGTGAAATTTAATTTTTCATTTAGAAAGAAAAAACCATTCAGACATGGAACTACTGTAACAAAATTCTTTAAAGCAACTCTCCAGTCTCTATATATGTATGGTGGAATTTTTTATTTTTTTTTTGGGTGAAAAATATTTCTTCATTAATCATTTCCTTTTCAGCCCAACTGAGTGGAACTGGAAAGAAGTACAGAACTTCATTGTAATAATCATGATAAATGGCGCACAGAAAAGTTTAGATCAAATTCTAAAGGGCAGTTAAAGGCTGCTTAGTGCTAGTTAGTTAAAATTCTTCACTTTAGTCAACTTGATACTGTCATTCTAACTAATCAGTAAGCATTATCAGTGAGTAATTATGATAGTATCTGCCTTTAATATCCACTTAACATTTGACAAAAAGGAATTCGACCTGCTAAAAGGGGACTCATTTCAGCCATTTCACGAAAAAGTGTAATCATTGCTCCCATTTGCTCCAACCGTAAAGTGTGGGGGGTTTACATTGCCATTAATTATCTTCTGAGTGCAATTATATGCGAAACCAGCTAGATTCAAGCCTTGTCAGCAGTTTGAAAATTGTAATTTGATTGATTAAAAGACGTAATTAACAAACCAGCACCAGAAAATGGAAGGAAAAAAGAAAGCGAATTCGAAAGAAAAGTGAACAGCAACTTCCTACATGATATGATGCCAAATCTATCTTGAGGCATGCACTGTGTGAGAAGGGGATAGTTTTTCCATTGTGGATTGTGATTTCATTTTCCTGTACGTGTGCTGGCTCTCTTTAACGAATCCTAGGTTGTAATTACAGTGGGTGCCATATTCATCATTAACCCTTAATAAGTCCTTGTTAAAAAGCACATTACTCCTTGTTAACATTTTATTTTGCCCTTTACTAGAACGAAATGGTCAAAAAAAAAGAAAAGAAAAGAAATCAGAATCATACTAACGTCTCATCACTTTCATTCAGTATTTTCTAGTTTTCTTAGGATCACAACTTCAGCAATAGTAAGGAAGAAACTAATGGACTGGCATTACAGAATTAATGGCTCTAATCAACTTTTTTTTTTTTTTTTTTTTGGGGAGCCCTGATTGAATCAACTATCATTCTCTAGCACTAAATACTTTTCTTTAATTGAGGAAGCTAACACCAAAATATTCAATGAAAATTAGAGAGTTAATAGCAAATTCAGGTAGGTAGGTAGGTATTTTTATCCAGTAAAATTAATTATTTCCCGGCAAAGAGTAGTTTGGAAGAAATCCTTGGTACAAGTACCCAGAGGTACAATTTCACGTGCTCAACTGTTTAGGAGCAGTGTGAGTTTCATTTCATGTCCGGGGGCCCCTTACCTCATCGTCCTTCGCCTTAATCTTTAGCGATTTGTCACGATTTTGTTGTTAATTTTGACCACGGATTTGCCTCCTCCTATCATATTCCTGAAATTTGGGTCCCTAATCCGGGTCTTACCAACTCTGTTAAAGTCACTTTGGCTTGATTTGTTTAACGTAATCAGCGCTAAATTCTAGGAATGCTTGCTAATAGTGCGGTAATACAGTGATAGCCAATCAAATTTGTCTTCCTTGAATTAAGATTCCATTGGATGGATTCTACGTGAAGACAATTTTCTTTCAGGCTCGTGAACCTTAGATAAATGATATTAATCACTGTGTTATAATTCTCTTGCAACATGGTATGCGAAAACAAAAAAACTGCTGGCGAGCATCAGAATTAAAAAAGAAAAACAAGGATAGTTTCGCCAAAGCCAAAATGGCCACCAATTTGTGTTGGATCATGCTGGCTGGCTATGCATGTTGCAGTAGTTTTAACGAGGCTTATTTGAAGTTTCTCGTGATGGTTATGGTGAAAATTAGAGGGTATAGGAGATTGGTTTGAAAAGGATTTGTACTAGAATTTTGAAGATTTCACATTTACTGATTCTAGAAGTAAAGTTTCTCATTTTCGCAGGTAAAATCTTTATAAACTTGTATCAATTTCGCATCTTTGGTAAATTCAAGACCTAGCTAATACGTTTAGCTGGTGATGCTGGCTACTGTTAGTCGCCGGAAGGGGAAAAAAGAAGGGCTCTAGACGAGAAATTTCAGGCATAGTATAACTAGTTACGCTACAGATGAAAGGACTTATATATCCTACTGATTATTTTTGGAAAACAAGATCATCCAACGAGGAAGCAAGAAATCAGAAATAAACATACTTCAAACAGACGGGATTTTGTGTTTTTCGTTGCTAGAAAACTTTTTTAGAATCAACCACACTTAGCTAAGGAACGGACATCGAAGAGACAAGAAAAGGCTGCTTTCCGTTAACATGAGATGACTTTGCTGTCTAGTTGCTATGGCCTTATACTGAAATCAGACAAGCTCACGCTAGTTTTTCAACTTTCAGCTATGGAGTAATGATATGGCAATAATAAGGCTAGTAAGTTTTCAAACTTGTAACAGTTTTGCGGCCTACCCTCAATTGCACTCTCACTCTGGGCTCAGTGATCAGCATTTCCCCTTTTACACCTTGTTCTCACTTCTTACCCTCCCGCTCAAATACAAAAAGCTACCAGACTACCAACTTTTGAAGGTCTAGATAAATCCCGTATCCTCTAAGGTTTGGATTTGTTAATTCGCACAATTCTGCTTGCTGGGGACCCCTGTCCTGCTTCTTTTACTTTTCTATCTCTTTCTCTCTTGCATCTACTACTTTATAACCACATCAATTGGCATCGTTTTGAAGAAATCTTTCTCAGTTCTCATAGTCTTTTCCTCTGTCCATAGCTCACCAGTTTTGACATTTCTGTTCCTGCACAAAAATGAAGTCTGTAGAACTATTTTGCGCCTCCCCAGCATCCACAGCCATTTGTTCTAGCATGGACCAACGTAGCATGGTCCGGCAAGGAGGGATTAGGCGGATCGATCACCACGGTCACCGCTTTGGTGATCATCACCACAGGCATAAAACCAGAACTCCAATCCCTTGTTCATCTCAAATTCCCATTAGTCCAAGAGCTTATTTTGATAAAACCAGAAAAAGCAATTCTTCTGCTAAGCAAAATCTTGAATCTCTTCGCAGAAAAAGCTCTGCTGATATCAGTGACCTCTCCAGTCCTCCTCCTACTGGTTCCTCTAGACATTTGTTGAGTGATACCCCGTTACTTGAGCTATTATCAGATTCTGAGCATTCCTCCTCTGCACTTGTACCTAGCCAACCTCTTAGAAGTTTAAAGTACCATAAATTCAATGAGTCAACAGTTTTCAGATCTTCAATGTCCAGCACGCACTCATATGACAATCCTGTGTATGAATTTTCTTGGGCAGGACGGTCAAATGATGATTTACATGCTTATAAATCTTCCTCACCTCGCTCAAACAATGATTCCAGTGTTCAAAACTCTTCAGCATCTCGCAAATATGATGATCTCCATGCTCGAAAATCTTCACTGTCTCGCTTAATTCATGATGATTTCCAAGCTCAGAAATCTTCATTATCTCGGACTGATACTTCACTTTCTAGTAAATCTTCATTAACATGCAGGAATGAGGGGCATGCTTACAAATCTCCATCAACTCCTGGCCGACCCCGTCATCAGGTTCATCATCGATATCATTAGCCCTTTTCTCTAATTATCATTTCTTTCTCTAACTAACATAGTACTTCACGATCCTTCATCAAAGTATTAGATCATCAGTAATGCATTTTTTTTTTTTTTGGTTATTTGCATGGTCTGCATGTTGTAGAATTGAGGGTCTCAATTCACTGCAGGGGTTGTGAAGGAAAAATAAGAAAACACATTGCCAAAATGGAAGGTAAAAACTGAACACCCCTAATTTTATTCTTGTGAAACACTACGTATTACTATTATATAAGTAATTAGATTATTAGGATCAGAGCTCAACTCTAGTTAATTTCTTTGGTTATAAGTAACGGTGTTTTCAATTTTATTTTTTATTTTTTAGTGATACACAAGTTCAAAAGTTACAGTTTCAATTCCCTCCAGTTGCTGATCTAAGCATAAGCAAAAAACTAAAGCAAATTTGGGAAATTGCGCAGGAGTGACTTCATTCAGCACAGATCTGGCCACAAAAAAAGTAACCGTAATAGGGAATGTGACACCTCTAGGCGTGCTGACGAGCATTTCCAAGGTCAAGAATGCTGAGTTCTGGTCATCACCAGCTTCATCTTCTTCTTCATCATCTCCGACGGTGGACATGAGCCTCGTTTCAGCTTAATATCTTGCGAGGGCCTCTTTAATTTTTTTGCGAAAACTCTTTTGCATAAAGAGTTAATTAACTTGAAATTTAGCATTAATACGGGCTTGCTTGAAATGACAACTTTTAATAGTGAATTGTGTCTGTTTTCATTAGTTAGTACCGTGTAAATGTTAGTGTGTTATATCATATCCTATGTGCTGGTAACAAAACCCGGCATGCATGTTAATTTTTCCAGCAATAAATATGTAACACTTGCAAAAGAGTTCGTTTGGTTCTGTCCCCTTCCAATCTTAGCATTAATTTATTTCTCGGATTAAACAACGGCCCATTTGCATGCACCTTTTCCTTTGTTTAATTTGGAACGCCCCCTAGGGCTGGAATCTTTGCCTCTGAAAATTCCTCCAGTTTTACCACTTTCCAGATGAGACATTCGTGTTTTGCAGGGGTATTTTCCCAACACTTGACTAGTCATTTCATTATGCTGCTCCTATTATATAGTACTCCTGCAAGCTTACCATCGGCCATCAGGAGTGGCCACTAATTACCCTTCGAAATCAACCAGGGAGTGATTTGTTTCTTATATTTGTATCCAATTATCAGCATCGTATTCAACTTTACAACAGTTAATAATTTGTCTTTTTCGTTGATACAAACTGTAATTGTTCTAGTAGTTAGCTTTGTAATAATGACTATCTTTGGTTCTTGTTGAACATACGATCAGAGCTTTCAAATTTGATACAAGTAAACAGACAATTTATTTTACGTACGCTAATTAGTACTATTTATTTTCTGATATAAAGTTACAAGTACTAATTTTTTTTTTTTTTAAAAAAAAAAAGAAGAAGAAGAAGAAGAAGAAAAATTGCATATCCGACATAAAGGACCTTTTATCAGAGCAATTGGATCAGGGGTCATCATGTTCTCTCATCCATGAGCAAACACACACAGCTTATGATGCATTATTGAGTAGGAAAAGGTGGAGCCATGAGAATGAAATAACATAACCACACCACTCATCATAGCTGATAGAAACTGAGCTTTGCATGCGGTGTCAATGGTCCGCACTAGAGAGGTTTATGCGGGTTGGGTCGTTGCAGGTACACGGGTATTCCAGAACTCTACTTTTTCCATTTCTTTTGGATATTGTCCAAACCTTTGTCTGTGGATATTCTATCTTTCCCCACAGATCAATGAATTGAATTTTAGTTGTCTACTTCAAGTTGTCACCTATTGTATTATCATTATTACTATGAGTTTAAAGCACATCAGGATCATCTTGATTTAGGCTTTTCAAGTACCCAATAATTTATTGCCATCTAGACTTCTTTTCATGTGTTCTATTCTTACACTACTACACTATCAGCTACATTATATATTTGGATACCAATTTGAGTTAAAAGTGTAAAAACAAATGAAGTACTCCTTAAAGCGCCATTTTTTTTTGGGCAATCATAATAGCACGATTCCCTGACCCAAAAAAAGAAAGAGTGATGAAAGAAAGAAAAACCCTAGACGAAGGACAAGGAACAATTTGTTGATCTACCACTCTCTTATATACTTGCTAAGGTATTCACTTGTATAATTTTGGGTTGATAATTTTGTAGATTTTTAATCTCTCAATTTCCATACTCTAAATTTTATCTATGCATTTGGGATTTGCAAGAAATTTATATTCCTTTGAATTGTCAAGATTTCTTGGTCATTTGTGATTATTTATGTAGTAGAATAATTCACTGATATAATTATTCAATTGAAAAAGTTCACACGTTAAATGGGAAGATTGTGTAAATGCACCAGCTATCCTTTTTCTTTTTTTGCGTAATCATTGATAGTTAGAATAGCCATCAAATTTACACAATTATAAGAATGGTGTTTTTTCACTTAAAGAAAAGGGGAAAAGTTGGCTAAATTACATTTAAAAAAAAAGAATAGAAAAAAGTAAGTGCAATAAAGAAAAAATTACTCTTGAACAAATAAAGAAAAGGAAAAAAATTGGGTAAATTACATTAAACAAAAAAAAAGAAAAAAAAAGAAGAAGGAATAGCAAATGTGAAGATTGTGTGGGAGGAGGAATGGGTTACTCTATTATTATTATTGCACCCCTTAATTTTAGAGACTTCTAAGCTCCAAACCTAAAAGGAAGAATAATTGATGATATATTGATCGGTTTGAAGCAAAGCCAAATCCAATATCAGCTCACGCTAATGCTTTTTATCTAAAGATTTGAAATCCTTGTCTCCTTTGTCTCGATCAATTATAAGTTCAAATATGCAACTTTATATTCTTTGACCAAAACCATGGACGGCAGCTGGAAAGAAATACACCCCGTAGAAGTTGCAATTTGGTCCATCTATATATCAAAGAATTACCATTTCTTAATTTGATTAATGGACAGATAATCTTTTTCCGCTTTCGGGCGGCGCACCATTAGTGGTGTTGGCTTGTTGGGTATAATCGTCTGCTTTTGACCGACTCTTTACTGGGGAAATCTGGCTGAGGATTTATCTCTTTTTTTTTTCCTTCAATTTTAACTTTGAGACATGAAGAAGTTAAATACTATTAAGATTGGTGTAGGTAACCCGTAGCTCAGACAAGCTAGGATTTGGAACATTTCTCGTTTCAAACTTTCAATGCCTAAAGTTCACACGCCAGAGCAATTTGTAGATCAAGATCTTGGATGCATTCTTCATATCAAGAAGTAGAGGTTTCTTGTGGTTCCACACATGGGAGTTTAAAACAGAAGGATAAAAATGACGGTAAACACAAATAAAAAGAGGGAAATACTTCATAGATAAATGAACTCATATAGAGCAACTTCATCAAATTGCTATCCAATTTTGATCAAATAATAGACACAGCAATAATTATGGAGGGCCAGCCAGAAGTTGAAGAACAGCACATGACTTGGAATAGGAACTGTTCCAGCATATGCAGCCAAACTCGCTAGTAAAAACTGAAAATGATGGACGTGATATATGGAATTATGGATGGACCAAGGCATGGAAATATAAATCATGCTATGCCTTTGATCCAAAGCCCTTTTTGTTTGGTTCTCCCACAGTTCTACTTTGTGGGACATGATCCTTGTTTGAGGCAAATATTTGTTACTTCTTGATTGTTCGAGGAAGTTTTGACGAGAGACTAGATCCTGTTGTAAGACTAGAAAAAATTCCATTCATCTTTAATGTCTAGCTAAGCAACTCTTGTGGTCTAAGGAAACTAACTTGAATATTTGTGCAAGTTATACCCCATATGTTACATCTTGGTTGAAATCTGCGGCCGGGGAAGGTTTTAACAGCTGCAAACCCTTGGCAATAAAGTACTTTTCAATCATACCAAAGACGGCAAGATGGATGATCCTTTCTGCGTTTCTATTTTGTTTGGGTTAATTACAGTTACTGCCCTTGAGGTTTGGTCAAACTACAAACTAAATCCTGAGATTTGGCCAAACTACGGAAGAACCCTCTGAATTAACAAAAGCTTAACAAAAAGCCCCCTAATTAGTCAACAAACGTTGACTGCTTGATGTTAAACGGAAAGGTCAGTGAATGTCCTAAACTACCCACAAGCTATTCCCTTTTAAGTCTTCAACTCTTCTCTTTGTGGGATTGAAGCCAATGGAGCCAATGGAGTTGCACAATGGTTCTACGTTGTTCATGTAGAATGGATTCAAATGGACACACATTCACTAGTTGCTTATCAAAATCACTCCTTGCTACTTCTTTTTTCTTTTTCCTTCTCCTTCTTCCATAAAAACATTACTATTTCATCACAAATTGCAATACCTTTCAAAATCTAGATCTTGTAATTTCAATACCAAAACCAACTCTTTTTCTCCTCTAGACATGAGATTTGAATGCTAAACCCTGTTTATGAGGAGCTAGAGAAGAGATTCTGAGCATTGCTTGTGGCTAAGATGGGTTATGGTTTTGTCTGTGATTTTGGTGGCTCTCTTTGTATCAAATTTTGCTGCTTTCTTGTTTCTATTTTGCTGGCTTTGCTTCACTTGAATGTGTACAAAGAATTGGGCTGCACGATTTGGTTTCATATGAAGCAATTATATGTTTATTTTTTGTGGGTTTTTAAAGGAAATGATAGAGAACGCAGGCTATGGTGTTAAAAGATGAATGAATTTGCAATAGTTTGGAATTGGGAATGTGTTAGAGATAGGTGATAACTTAGAGATGGGAAGATGAGCAATTAAGGTTTTGAGCAGTACAATCCATGGATAGCAGGAAATCTTTTTTCTTCTTAATTTTTTTTTTATTCTTTCCTGTATCTAGTACTAATGAATTTCCTTTTTATTATTTTATGCAATTTTCATGGTTATCTTTTCTTTTATCTATCAATTTGTTAACTTTAGGCGCTGAGATAAAGATTTATTTTTTTCAATTGTCTTTATGTTTTCTCTATAAAACTCTCCAATTTTTATTTTTGCAACTTTTTTCTTTTTTTTTTGTTTTGTGAAATTTATTTATTGTTGTGAGTAGAGGGTAAATTTGTCATTTTATTTGTTCTACTTACTGGCTCTTGACGGTGTTACTGACAAGGGAGTCAGATGTAATTTAGTTAAACTTCAAGGTTTGATTCGTAGTTTGGTCAAACCTAAGGGGAGGTAAATGTAATTAACCCATTTTGTTTTTCTTCTGTCAAAAGTGATCAAAATCTGTTCTGTTTGAGTGTGTTCCGCTTCCAACCAGACTTATGTTTCATTTACGGTTAAAGAGCTGGGCACTTTGTTGTTCGAGGAAATTAAAGCTCTTCCTGCTGTTTCCACAACATTAATGCTTGTCGTCTTAGTTGTTTATTTCAACGTTAACCAACCAGTCCATTTTCCCCCGAACGAACTATAAGCAAGCTTCGAAGAAAAAAGTTATGGCACCCCCCACTCATACATAAGCTTGATCCCTGCTGAGAGTTTTGCACTCTCAACTCTTCTAAGTAGTAGCATTGAGAGTTACCTGTTTGTTCATGGGATGGCGATTGAAGTGATTGATGATAATTTTACTCTCCTTTCATTCATCTCTTCCCATATACTATTCAAGAACGCATATCATATAAATTAATCAGAATAGTATCGGTAGACTACGAGAAGTTTGCCCATGTACGTGTATCCCTCTGTGTTTACAGTTGAGGGCGTGACTCCTTATTGTTTGTTTGTTTGTTTGTTTAAGGTTGTTAAAGTACCGCTTCCTCCTAAACTTATAATCTGGCTGGGGCTCACACAGACATAGTACCGCCCATGGTAAACACAACCAAGAAATATGTTGAAACTGTAACACCTAACAGACCAATCAAAATCCAAAATTTCGAATCTTCAAGCACCACGAAGGTAACAACATTAAAATTTAAAGAATTTTGGAGCTATAGGAACTAACATCACAATGTCAAAGATTCTAGTTTGTCAAAGACAAACTACAAATTATTAACATCTCGTTATTTGCCAAAACAAAAAACTAGAACTTCACATGCTCCGAGAGCAGCCTACATGACCATCTCCTCTTATGTAGGTGGTATCGTTCACAGTGGGTGAACCTAATTGCAGTAAGTACTCCTCACCGCAGTCTGCAGCCTGCAGACTCCTTACATACATGTTATTGTTTTTTAAGGCAGTTAAGTTCCTGCCTGGTCGGTCTTATAAATCTGGCAGGATTTAACATTTCTTTGGGGTTCACCGAGACCACTGGGGATTCCATTGTAAACGATAGCTCGGAAAGTTGTATTTTCAGAATCAGCAGCAGCTCGAAAAGTTGGTTTCCCAGCATCAGCAGCAGCAATAGCAGGATCCGTTGTAGCTGTAAAGGTAATATAATAGTTAAAACCAGCACAGGGGGTTCTATTAACCTTGTCAATATCCCAGGAATAGTAGCAAAACAATGGTTCATCATCACATCTTGATTGAACTTGTCAAGGGCCAATTTTGCCATGTCAACGATCTCAGAGCAAAATCTAGGATTTCTTTTGTGATATGTAACAGGCATTAACGAAGAGCTGACAACAAGGGACCCGGATAAACCTCAGGGTCCACATCAAAACCATCGCAGTCGCGAATCTGTCGAAGGTGCTCAATCCATCGGTTTACATTCAGCTCCCGAGAGCCCAAAGGGCAGACACTTGCAAGGGGATCAATCCCACTAGATGACTTTGCACGACTGGCAGCCTTCAATTTCTTTTCAATCCGTGCATCTTTCATTCTCGGGCTTTCCGGATACTGAATATCCTACTCCTCCCCGGTCTTGTTAATGGCACTTGGTTGGTTATTGTAAGATGGACGGACGGATACAATACCAGTCATCAACCGTCAATATGGTCTTCGGAATAGCATCATCCGTCGTTAATCCTTGATTTACCATATTTCAACGAAAGTGTGATAATTCTCTATTGGTGTTTCTTATGATGAATGGCAGTGGGCTCCTGTTGTTGAGCGATGAATTCTCCCATCGGTGTTTATTATGTAACAGCTCCAGCCATTATCGAACTAGTAAGCTTAATAGTTCCCCAACTAATCCACAGATAGATATATACCAGACCCTGGCTCCAAGTCTCCAACACATGAAGGAAGTTCACCAGAGTAGAAGTTTCATCTGTTTTCTTGCTCAACTGGGGGGGCCTGATGATTAGCGTTTTTGTTCTTGCTGCAACATGGTTCCGTTTTCTTTCTTTACATGTACCCTTTTTCTTTTCCATTCTTTTTGAAACACCTGTTTCGTATTCCTTTTCTGGTAATACTGAATCTGGGATTGAGAAACTCTTCCTAATAATTTGAATTATTTCCTTGCTAGGTTTCCAGAAAGTGGCCGGACTATTTCTCCATATAACTTCAAACTTGTCAACGAACCGCATGTAGCCATGTAGGTATACTATAGGTATCCTAAAAAGTCATTTTCTAAAGCCTGTTAAGAAAGTTATTACTTGTTTATACAACTTCACATTGCAACAGCTCCAATCACCTGTACTGCACCAACCAGCCATTATCGAACTACTGTAGTAGTTTATTAGTCCCCTAACTAATCCACAGATAGATGTATCGCTGACCTTGGCTCAACCTAACCACCGCAAGATATAAAGGATTTTTTTTTTGTGGGTAATAAAGTGCATCGGATATTCTGTCCTATCTCTTATTCCACTTTCTATCTCATTTTTTATTATATTTTCATTTCTCCTCTATAAATATCATATTTTAATTTTTTTTTGTTTTCTTACTATCAAATAACTATTAACTAAGTTATAACTATTAACTAAGTAATACACTCTTAGAATAGTTAACCACCAAAAGAGCCTTAAAGCTATATTTGGGTGTAGTTGGCCACCAACTTTTAACTAACTACTTCTAGAGTAGTTGGTCACCAAGAAAGTCTTAAAACTCTATTTGAGTGGAGGTCAAAGGATTCAAATCTCTTGACCTACATTCTGAGTCCAGGATTTCCTGCCCTAGTATAAAGTAGGAGTAGGTGTAGATTAGAATCAATCGTATCTAACAAAAAAAAAAGAGTAATATACAATATTTAACAAACTCACAGTATCAAAATACACAGAAAAATGAGATTTTTTTTTAATGAATTTTCTGCTATATTTTGTGATTTTTTATTATATGTTATTTTTTTTGAGACTGTTGTATTTTTTATTTTTATTGTGTTAGTAGTTATTTGATAGTAAGAAAACAAGAAAGAATTAAAAACCCACAAATCAAAATACACAGAATGAGATTTTTTATGAATTTTCTACTGTATTTTGTGATTTTCTATTATATGTTATTATTTTTGAGACTCTTGTATTTATTTATTTTTTTACTGTGTTACTAGTTACTTAATAGTAAGAAAACCAAAAAAGATTAAAATCTGATGTTTATGATGGAGGTGGAAGAGAAAGTGAGACAAAAGATCCGTTGCGGTTATAAAGGATTTGCATAAATTAAACAGAAATACCTCTTATTGGCTGGCGCCACAAAATAATGTATTTTCATTTTAACCCCTCTCTTTCTTTTCATTTTTTTTTTTAGGAAACTCATGTTTTCTACTTTTCTTTTTCCTGGTAATACTGATTCCAGAATTAAGAAATTCAACCTATTAATTCGAATTTCCTTAATAAAACAACAATGACTTGTTTATAATCAAGCATGTATTCAATAGTTATATTTGGAAGCAATTTCACACCACTGTAATCCAAATCAAATATTAAATATTTTTAAGCACAAATTTCAATTTCAGTTTTCAAATTCTCCGACTCATTAGCAAATACACACCAAGCAATCAAACAGAAAAGCTGATACACTAATAAGCAAGATACACAGTGATCTCCAACACAGTCTCCACCCCATCTGTAGTATGTTGGTTGAGATTTGCAGGGAAGGTCTTTACAGTTGCAAGTCCCTTGGCATTTACGTACTTTCCAGTCCCACCCATGATGGCAAGATGGGACTCCGAGACAGCAGTTCTATGGACCCCAAAAAAGCTCAGGCTATCAGCATAGCTGCCACTTGCAAACATCACAGTGAAAACCATGGTCTGGCTAGTACCGTCCTCTGAACTAGCAATGTAAAACCCTTGTGCTTTGCCTACCAAGCCTGAACCGAGCTCGTGCCCTTCCGTTAGCTCATCATCAAACACTGTCATGGTACCAAACATGAGTGACTGAAATGTAGTTCCTGTAGGGAATTGTGCAGGATTTAAGGCTGGGAAACCAAACCCTCCTCCAATTATTGAGTTTCCATTCTGCTGAACCAAATTAGGTGCGGTTCCGCTGAGGCCAGTGAGGAAGGGGATGTTGTTATTGTTGATAATTCCACTATTAGCATTGTTTACTGGGATGCCGTTATTCACGGGCAGGACTGCACCATTAGGCTTGGCAAAGGGGACTTGGCCGCCCACGGCTGGATTAGTTACCACTCCAGTTACAGCTATTGCCGAAGGGGTTGATCCACCTAGAATGTCATGCATGAAAAAGGTCAGCATGTGATCGGGACTCTCAGCACCAACTCCATTACTTGCGACTGCAGCTGGAGCAGCAGTACCCCCGGGCGTTACATTAGGAACTGCTGTGTCATCCGGATCAGCGCCTTCGGGTGGAAGTGTGGGGGCAACTACCTCCTCATCAAGGATTCTAGCTGAGGTAGCACAAGTGACTGCAAGTGCTAAAATGAGGAGGGAGAGTATTGCTGTGAGCTGGATATTGTTACACTGCACGGTAGCCATGAGTTGGAGACAGGCTACAGGAAAAGTTCAGAAAAGTTTGCACACCTTGTTACAGACTCGTTCTACAGCTTGGTGAAAGGATATGTTTTTGAATTGTTGGATGTATCAGGTTAGATGGGAATATATATATATGGTCTTTCAAGAGCCAGAGCCAGGTAGAATGGAAATTGGAGTTGATAAGATGGATTAGGTGATTGCTAATTCCACCAATCTAGGTGTATTAGTTGGTGTTTCTAAAGCAAAATGTATTGGGTAGCTAAGTGAGCATTTTGAACCAAATTGCAGATCTTTTGGCAAAATAAAAGTCCAATGCATCAATTAAGGGCACCTTATGAAGATAATGCTGATCACCACAATGGCTTTCTTAGCTAATGCAGTAAAAGTTACTGATCATTACCTATAAGAAGGATTTCCAGCAGAACCTCCAGCCAAATCAGCTTGTAAGCATTACCTTGTCCGGACATGTCAATGTTATTTTGATCATTGCACTTTTTCATGTTTCACAAAAACATGCAGTTATTGCTCCAGGGACAATCCATTCATCCACACATTCTCACTTCCCTTCCACTTAAAAAGGTTTCCAGCGGTCTATAAAGAGGATAACTTGTCAGGGATCCTGTGGATAAAATTTCACTAGGTCGCAATATTCTCTTTCATTTCAAATCAAAAGTACAGTGTAAATAAGATCCTCAAAACTAAACGATAACACCAGGAAACCACTTTCAGATTGATCAAGCCATGCTAAAGACAACAATTAGCAAAGACTCAATCACTCAATTCAAGACTAAGATTTTGGTCATAATCCTATTAACATCCATTTCGTCCCCACAAGACTCCACAACTAAGGCTTCCCATGACTTCAGGTCAATCATTATCTTTCTTTTCAACATCTCTTCCAAAATAAAGCATGCATTATCCAAATTCCCACTCTTGATTAAGCCCATAAATAAGCAAACAACTGTTTCTGGTCGAGGAAAATGCCTACTCCTTAGCATTGCATTTAACACCTTTACACCACTCTCAAATTCACCTGCTCTACAAAACCCATCAACCATCATTCTGTAACTAGCTGCATTCGGTTCGCACCCTCCCACTTGCATTTCAACTAATAACTTATAAGCCTCTGCAGCCCTGCCTACCTTACACAAACAGTTGATTATTATGTTAAACATTACAACATCTGGCCTCATCTTCCTTTTCTTCATTTCAATCAGCAATCCTTTAGCCTTTTCAAACTCACCTCTCTTTCCAAGATCAGTCATCAGAACTCCATAATTCACGGGCCTTGGTTTACAACCTTGATACTCCATATCAAACATCAGCTTCTTGGCCTCTTTAAACTTCCCCACAAAGCAAAGGCCTTCCATCAGCAGAGCATAAGTAACAGCATTTGGTCTTTTCCCCTTCTTCATCATATCCTTAACCAAAACCTTAGCTTTATCAAGCTCGCCCCTTTTACACAAAAACCCAATTAAACTATTATAAGTCACAACACTGGGCTTCACCTCTCTCTCAAGCATTTCATCAAACACTTCCCGAGCTCTATCCCATTCGCCCTTTTGAAGCCACATTTTGATCATAATATTGAACGAAACAGAGTTCAATCGCAAACCCATCTTCGCGGACTCCCCAAAAATCTCATTAGCATCAGACAAACAATCATCATCAACCAAAGCATTAAGAATCGCATTAAAAGACTGAAGTGTACGGACACAATTGAATGACGTCATGTTCCTAAAAAGTTCAATGGCCTTGCAAGACAACTTGGCTTTGCAATAAACCTGAAATAAGGCAATAAAAAGAGTTTCTTTGCATCGAATATTGTAATTCTTGAGGGAATCCAAAAGGGTTTCGACGGCTTCGAAGTTTCGAGCTTTGGCAAGCTTGTACATGAGGGCGGAGTAGGAAGGATAGTCATGTTTGAAGCCCTTTTCTTTGTACTGATAGAAGATAATAAGGGCTTCCTCTGTATCCCCGCAACCTTTGATTTCATCCAGGTATGGAATGGGTTTACGAATTCTTGAATTGGATTTTGGAAAACGATGATGGTGAGTGCGGAAGGATCGTGTCTGACAGTGATAGTGAAGGTTGAATTTTGAGAGTGCAAGATGTATTGATTTTGATGATCTTAAGTTCTGCATGGAAGAAACGAAAACGGACATGCAGAGAATATCTGTGAAGATTGAGTCCTTTATTTACACTTCTGATGAGCACATTACTTTCTTGTTTTCCGTTTTGTCAGTTCGATATGATACTTGAAATTTTAATTGATTCCATTTCCCTTGGATATGTTTTTTTTTTTTTTGGCATTTTTGTCTTTTCCCGGAAAATTTCATGGTACAACAACTGAAGGTATTTCTTCCCTCAGCTATTTCGGAGTAGAAAATTATCCCTCTGTTTATTTTGTAACTTCTTCGAATCATAGGGAGTTTTAAACAAATTAGAAGACTCGTATATAAGTTCATGTAGGATGTTCAATGTTTCTCTTGGCTTATGGGGAAAATTTGAACCCCCCACCAAATAAAAAAAAAATTATGACATTCAGAATTAGGACTTCCCGTGAAGAGCTGATTATCTTTAAGACATATAGTTCTTGATATGAATAAAGAATATTCACCGATGTTGGATTCGCTTATGAGCAAAATATATTGAATATTATAAGCCTTTACTGTGTTTATAGCCAAGAATGTATCAATTGATTAAACTAGTGAAGGTTATCATGTTCAAGCTCTGTTTAAATTCTTACAAGCTCAATACCTTGTGTTTGTACTGGACTTTTCGTATAAATTTCGGCTTTTATACTCATTGATTCTTGTTCGAAATGAGATAAAGTGACTTTAATTTCATTGAGACATAAGCAAATTAGTGCCAAGTTAATTTTCAAGTAATATCTACCCAGACAAACTCGAGCCAAACGCTAAAGTAGCTCTTTTCCCCGTTTGCCTGTGGCTGTAACCCGACTGTTTGACGATCAAAATTAGACCGAAAATAAATGCGGCATTCTTATTCATTATAATAGGAGACAACTCGGAAAATTATGCTGGCGTTACATTTACTCTCTTCTCAAACAAATCTCATAATGCTTAGAAACAAGCTATGCTAAATGATTGACGAGTCCAAAGCTCTGGCGCAGATTTAATTAGAACATGTCTTGACTTTGAGGACTGGAGAGGATATTAAGGGGATGATCAATTCGTGATTTAAGGCGGCAAATTAGATCATTTGCCCTTGGAGCTGTTAATCCTGGTCGTTCAGCCATATCAAGACCGGTACCCTCTGTTTTCCCTGCATGCAAAGTTGGCACCTCGAAGTCGAAGCACTGTAAAATAAGTGCAAGAATGTTTGGCAACTCCAGAATAGCCAAGGACATCCCAGGACAGCCTCTTCTTCCAGTCCCAAAGGGCAAAAGCTCAAAATGATGCCCCTTGATGTCTCTAATGCGTGATGGATCGCCATCACCATTAGGCTCCAGGAATCGCTCAGGCCGGAATTCCAGCGGATTTTCCCAGTATTTTTCATTTCTTCCGATGGACCAAATGTTCACAAAAAGCAAGGCATGAGCTGGGATTTTGGATCCGGCTACATTGCATTCATTCACCGATTTTCTTATGAGCATTGGAATTGGTGGATGAAGTCGTAAAGTCTCCTTTATAATTGCCTGAATATAGGGCAAATGAGGAGTGTCTGATTCTTCTGCAAGCCTGTGTTTTCCTTCCACTACTTTATTGATCTCCTCTTGCGCTTTCTCGAGCACTCTTGGATTGTTGATGAGTTCAACTAACGCCCATTCTATGGCAATGGATGTCGTATCCGTGGCGGCAGTGAAAAAGTCCTATATGTTTTGCGTACAACTTTGTGTGTTAGTCAAACCACTGTCTCTCATAAACTACTTTTTTGAGTAAATAACCAATTAATTCACCTAATATTGGCCCGTTTGACAAGTGGATTTTTTAGATGTTTATCTAAAACTTTATTATAATTTACTGTAGAAGTTGTAGAAAAAAATTTTTTAAATGTGTAAATTTTTTGATATTTTGAAGTGTATAGTTTAAAAATTTTAAGAAATATTTTGAAATTACTGTAATTAAAATTATTAAAAAATTCGTAACGGACAAACTTAACAAAAACTTACTCGTCATGAATTTAACAGTAGCCTTTACTTTGCCTACAAAAATTTTCACCTACCCCGCTAACCCTATTGATATATACAATGGCCTTTATAACTGATGTGACAGCTGAAATTTTGAGAGTCATTAAGATGATGAAAGCATGGATTTGGTTCGCTTTTTTAAGTTTAAGCGGCAAGTCAAGAATAGCTAAGCAAGCAACCATATTGCTACTTGGTCAATGTGGATGGCCTTGCTTGTTCAAATATTTTCAAGCTGTTAATGTCATCTGTAGAGATATTACTAGTGTATATGCAACTATGTGTATGCAAGAACCAATCAGACAAAGTGAAAATGTCTGGCAATATGATAATGGGTTAATTTTTGAGATCCAGGGTATGCTCGAACTTGTGCAAGTTTTAAAGACTCCTATGATGTTTCAGTAATTTCGACAGCCTATAAACTGGTGTTTACCAGCAATAAAATCAAAAGGAAAAAAAAGTGTAAAATTTACTTAGAAAAAACACTAGTACTATTTTGGATAAATTTCCACTAAAACTATAATCCCTGATATGGTTAGTTAGTTGCAAGAGCTTTCTGAGGAAGAGGTGGTGTAACCAATTCCAAAAGCCATGTGAATTTTGTATCAAAGTTCAAAAATAGTAACAAGTCCTAATATGGATGCATTGAAAAATCTAGTGAGGGAGACAATGTGTGTGTGTGTGTATATATATTTGCTTGTTAGTTATCCACACTTTCTAACAAGTTTTGCATTTACGAGAAATCTGCAAGAACGTGATTAATGGTATAGTTTCAAAACGCTTACCAAGATTACGGCCTTGATATTATTTCTTGTCACTTTCACTTCGCTAGTCTGATTCTCCATCGTGTCAAGCAACATGTCAAGAAAATCATTTGCCTCATTGCTTCCTCCATCTTCTTTGTTTTGCAGTCTTTTAGCACTCCTTAGTATTTCTCTATCTGAGATGATCCTCTCCAGCAAAGTATCGTACCTTGTGTGAATGTTCTTGGCTCTCTTCCTTATTCCCTGCAAATCGAGGCTTCCACCAAACCCTATGATATCCGAGACATCAAATTCCCCAAAAATTTCTGTCACCTCGCGAATGACGGTCCTAGCCTGCTGAGCCTGATCACTTTCTCCATCCGAGCACCTTAAACTGAACATCATTTGGGAGATAATATTGTTGGCCAAATTCATTATTTCTTCAGTCACATTGACTTCCTCGCCGACTTTTGCTTTTCTCATTAGATCAGAGAGAAATGCATGCACCTCCATTTTCCTTATTTTTTCAAAATTACGTAGGTTCGTCGAGCCCAGTAGCTCCTGAGTGGCCAATTTCTTGATGAATTTCCAGAACGGACCGTAGGGTGCA